AGAACAATAAAATAATATCTTAAAAGGTAGGTCTCCCCTAATATACAGAGGGGACCTAACAATTTATTGGATATGTTGTAAATTACACTCATAAACAATATATCATTATTAGTTCTTGAGGCACTTACATTCTTTGGTTATGTGGTACCGAACTGAAAAAATAATGGTACGTTTCCGATCGAGATATGCACTCAGAGCAGGAAATTTACCGGCCAATCTCGTTCTCGAAGAGGGCCCACTTGCTTCCTGGGATTGGCTTTTCCTCGGTATATCTAAGTCTCCCAACCCGGTAGCATCTTCCTTAGCCGTCGAATCCACGCCATCGAAGATACCGCGGAAAAGGTCATTCGTTCCATGAGTCCCTTCAGCGGGGCATTTTTTAGTAGCTTGCGCCTCGTTAAACATCGATTCTCTAAATCAGGGTGACTCGACAATCTCTATTTTGCCAAGTGCTTCCTTTGAAGCGTTGCCCGCAGCTTGCGAGGCTTCGGCCCTGGCCGCCTCAGTTTCTCTAACTTGATGATGGTCAACCTTACCCACATCCGGCTCGGAAGCTCCTTGCCCATTGGGCTGAGGCGGCACGCTATCCATCAGATCAAAGGCCCCTCCTTCCACATCGGATTCATCTCTCAATCGGTGGAGTGAATCCGGAGGCGGTGCTCGAGCACTGGTGCTTTCCTTGGGTTTTAGCACCAATCGCCTCTTCAATTTGTCCTTCTCGGGGCCCAGAGAACTCGGAGCCTTTTTTCTTTTCTTTTCTTTATCCTGCTTCGAAGCAGGGGGCTCAGTGAAGACATCATTGTCAGCGGATAGAGGCCTCATTTCAACATCTTTTGGTAAACCTGCAAAAAGAAAGTAAACAAATCAGAAATTGACGGCGTGAAATTAAGGTCAAATGTAACTTAAATAAAAATAACACCTCGGGAACGGGCCTCCCATCGGCCCTTCGAAAGCTCATGCCACGAACTCTCGGAGTATGATCTTTGTGTTGTAATACCCTCGACCCACTCCTTGAGTCGAGGAACTGCTTCCGAAATCTGAGCGACAACTGCACCACCACAAGGCACTAATGAAAAAAGAAAAGGAAGGGAAGCGTAATGAACAAAACCTTGAAACTAATATTGTACTTACGTGACATGTTCCAATTCTCAGGAAATGGCATATAATCGGCATGGATTAAATCCGAGGACTTTACTCGGACGAATCGGCCTAACCAACCTCGGTCCCGGTCTTCATCGATGCTTGAGAACAGGGCCTTACTAGCCCGGCGTGCAAGCTTGATTAATTCCCATCAATAGAGTCGGGGACTATACAAACGCATGAGATGGTCGATGGAGAATGGATACCCCTCGATCTTGCTCACGAAGAAGCGGAGCAGAATTACTATCCTCCAGAACGAATGATGAATTTGACAGAGGGTCACCTCATACCTCTTACAGAAGGTAATGATGGTCGGATCTAAGGGGTCCAGCGTGAAGGGGTAAGTGTAAACACTTAAAAAACTCTCCACGTGGGTAGTAATCGCTTCCTCGGGCGTAGGGACCACTACGTGCTTATCAGCCTAGTTGCAATCTTCATTGACCTTGGTGAAGACACTCTCGATGACCGAGCATATATATCTCGAGATCGGCTCACACCGACCCGGTACCGAGGATGTTTTTTCGACCTTGAAATCGGCTTCGGTTGAGCACCCCGTAAGAATAGAACGGATTTTGAAGTCTTTGCCATTACTTTTAAATAGTGAAAAAGTGGAGAAATGATGGTGTTGATGAAAGAGAAGGTGTGATTGGCAGATAGGCAACTCTTATGGAAGCTTTCAGAAAACCAGAAGGGAAGAAGTTTTAATGTAAACCAGAAAATCAGAAAGTGAGAGTGATAAAGTTTCTTAAAGCACAAGAGCAAAAAGTTTGAATGTAAAGTTCAAATGAATGGATGGAAGGATATTTATAGTTTTTCAAACGACGGTTCACATCCTCGAGTGGCTGACCATTAACTGACACACATTTAATGCCTGAAAGACTGGACCGACGGGACATTTCAACTATTTTTTGTCGCTTATGTCATGATTTATCGAAGTGAGAATCGGGAGTTCATATCGTTTCTCGTCACCTACTCTCCGAAAAATTAGGGGACTATTTGTATACGGGTAAAACCGAGCTCGATGTTCGATCGAGCATCCAACATGGTAAGCCGGGGTCGAAATATGGTAATCGGGTAAAGTCGAGCTCGAAGTTCGATCTAGCGTCCAACACAATCAACCAGGATCGAAATATGGTAATTAAGACCGGACCCAGAGCATTGTCAAAATTAGTTATCGAAACTATCAGATTTGCCTTCTAGTTTACCGAAGATGTAACCGATCCCGGTTCTAACGGTCTCAAAGAAAGTCTTGCCAACTTATCCGACATGCGTCCGCAATTCCCGCAACTAACCGATCATAACGGCGAAAATCACGGAACACGTAAAAAAAGGGATCAACGGTCAGCAAATCAAGGACTTTTGCTTTTTATAGAACAATAAAATAATATCTTAAAAAGTATGTCTCCCCTAATATACAAAGGGGACCTTACAATTCATTGGATATGTTGTAAATTACATATTTACACTCATAAACAATATATCATTATTAGTTCTTGAGGCTCTTACATTCTTTGGTGACGTGGTACCGATCTGAGCATCTTTCCAACTTGAGGATATCCAACCTCCCTAGGTTGAAATTATCTAATTCGTGTGATTTGCATTTACTATGTCATTATTTATTTTAATCGCATTTTAATTTACATTTCATTATCAAATTAATCCGCATGTCTTTAAAACCACTAACAAATTCAATTGTTATCTGATTTTGAGAGTAAACAATTATGAAACGAAAGAAAACAATAAGATACAATGCAACACAATAGATTAAGATATGATATGTAACATCCATGCAAATGCATTAAGATAAATTAAGAACAGTTATTGTCTCTACTTTTCGTATCAACACTGTAAAAATTTGGTCCCTTTCTCCCTATTTTCACCCTTTATAAAATCTTGAATTTCGCTGAGCACAGTACAAATTAACAGAAGCTGAGAAAGCAGCTGAAAGCTGACAGTCAATATGAATAGTGAATGAGTCCAAAATAATAAAAAAATATGTTGAGCAAAAGCGATTGAATGAGGAAAAGAAAAAGGGAAAAAAGAAAAAGAACATGTCAGCTCAGTTTATACGACACCAATACTGTTTAGACACTCAAATATTTCTTCATTGATTACATTTTCCAATATTTTACATGTTTTTAATTATAAAAAATTAAATATTTTGTTCTCGTACTTCAAATCCCATAAATTATTTTGGAACAAAGGAGGTACCAAACAAGAATTGACCCTCAAAGCAATCCATTTCCCTACAGATAGAGGCCATATCAATAGTCTACAAGAACTTCTTTGAATTAATTTCATGAATTATCACTCTAACTTTTATGCTATTGCATCAAAAGTTACTAAACGATTCTTTTTTTTTTTTTAACGAAAAATGTACTAAACTATTTTTGTAACAAAAGTCACTCAATCAGTGCCTAGGAGGAAACTAAAGATACATTTTTTATAATACTTGAGTGACTTTATAGTTGTACAAAATTGTTTAGACTTTTTGTAATACTTAAAAAAAAAACTAAAGTGTTTTCTTAAACAAAAAAAATAGTTTAATAACTTTAGGAGAAAAGAGCATTTCATTTACCACACAATGACTTTACTTTTGTCCTAGTGGAGGACAAAATCATTAAGCTGTGAAGGAGATTGAGAAAGGGCATGTCAAAGTCCCATCTCTAGTCAACAAAACATTCCCTTACACTTGCTTAGGCAAAAAAAGGCTATTTCCAAGTAGAGTTTAAGCTTCAAACACTAACGATACGATTGGTTCACTTATAAGATAGATATTACTTTGTTGAATTTTTCTTTTGCACGCCCTTTAAGAAATATTAACGAGAAAAGGAATAAGATTATTCTACCCTTATTTATGTCTTAAGATATAATATCTCTTCATTGAATATTTATTCTATTTATGTGTTATATCAATCGTCAAGAACAATTATTACTAAGGATAAAAAACGAAAAAACAATCAATTTTGTCTTGAACTTCTAAAATAATAAATAATTTGAGAACTATTTTTAGTAACCACAATTGTTAATATGAGACGGCTTCCTCCGGTCCACTTTAATTGTGAAAACAACCAGAAAATCAATTAAAATAGATTGGAGGGAGTAGTTAATAACTTGATGAAAATGATACTTATAAGAAAATTCAATTGTAGGTAAATATATTTACACTATAATTTAAATCCTAATAGGACATGTACCATTTAGGAGCGTAGCGAACACGACCTAATCTGCAAAGAGCATTAAATCTTTGTTTCATAATGATCGAATTGAAAATAAGCTGAGCTTTTTGGTGATTAGATAGCTAAAGAAGGTAATTAAGGCATACATGTGACTTTTTTTTACTATTCCCATAATTACTCGTTTGGAAACATTTGAACATTAAGAGTGATGTAAGAAATTCAAGATTGAAAACAAAAGGATTTCAAAGGAGGCCCCATAAATATCATTGCAACTCATAAATGAAGTTGCTTTAAAGTGAAGATATAGGAGTATTATGTCCCACCTAAAATCGTGTCCAAAGAATAAATAGAAAACAAAATGATTTATGCCTTTTAAATGAAGTATAATTAGTTAAAAAGGAGTAGAAATTATATTGAGATTGTTTGTTAGGAATTTCCAAAAGTATATTTGCTAAATTACAGGAAAAAGGGTATCACGATGCTCTTATTTCCTCTTGATAATCATTTCCTCCAAGATATATAATATTTTGTCCAAGAGACTAATTGATCCTTTGTCTTTCTACTATTTGTAATAACTGTTCTTTTACCCTACCTATAACAAATGAATATAAATGGATAATTATTTTTTAACAGCTTGTGCCACACAAAATGACATAGCTGTGATTCATTTGCTCTTAAGCATTCAAAAAAATGACAGTGATAGCATTTTCATAAATGTTGAAAGTTAAAGCTCTACACCTGAGACTTGAAATTCATTAAGTGGAAAATGAACAAACCCATGCCACAATGTGCATTGCAGGTAAACATTTTTCCTAGTTTAGCATGCAATAGTTTAGGAAACTGTACTGTATCCCAAACCCCTAAAACAACAACAACAACAACATAAAATCCCGTCGGATCCCACAAGTGGAGTCTGGAGCGGGTAGTGTGTACGCAGACCTTACCCCTACCCTGAGAAGATAGAGAGCATGTTTCCAATAGACCCTCGGCACAGGAAAGATGAAACAAAGTAGCATCAAGCAATAACTTAGTTTAATCAAGTTAGGACTAATAATTTCAGCTTAAGTAAAATCAATAAACAATAAACAATTAAAGAAACTTAGTTTAACTATCCGAAAATATAGTGAACAATAGTTAAAACTCAACATATATGGCGAACACAAAAGATGTTCCAAAATTCGCGCACGCCCTATTTTGTATCGACACTTGAGTGAACTGAGTTATCTTTGTATGGCTTAAACCAATGAAACAATGATACAAACCTGGGGCCATTGCACTTATTGTTGACAAGGCTCATAAGAAACTTCCCATCTTTTCAACTTTTGCTACTCTCCACCTTTCAGTTTTCTCTTCTTTCAATCAAATATAGGTATATCCAAAATTAGTTGTTGTTAATATAATCTTCTGTATGATCTATTCAGAATTTAGAGATTTTTTTATTTTATAATTAGACAATTTATGCTAGCCATAACTGCAATTCTCACCCTTTATCTGAATTTGGAACCGACTATGTTTAGTGAAGTTTACATTGGTTGGTCAGCCTACTGCTTCCCCAACCCCCAAATAATGCATAATCTCCAAAAACCGATTTAGACAACCTAAGACACATTTACACCTTTGGTATCTATATATCTAATTTCTGCAATTTGAAGCAAAGGGAGGGGTGTACTAATAAAGGGTTCAACCTTTCAAGCAAAAAACAAACAAGATAATCATCTTGCTTAAGAATGTTTGAATTTTTGTCTACCTTTTCTTCCTTCTTGTTAAGAATACCTGTTTAAGACCTACTCTACTTAATCATCATAGGTTTCATTTCCCCACTTTGGCTACCTTTTTTGCCCAAGTTTTCATTGCTTATAACTACCAAACTCTTTACATTACTAGTCACTTATATAGACATTGGAAGACAACGCATACAACCATGATAGTCCTCTATGATAACTTATTTTCCATGGCTTAGACTATCACTCTGCTGAAGACCTATGTATACATCTCTTATCTATTTGGTTAAACTTGATTTCTATATGAGGATCACTTATGAGTTGCAAAAAGCAGGAATGAGATTTTATCCTTTAAGAGGAACCAAACTAGGAACAAAGATTTTATAAGTTTTACTGCAGTTGGAGGCAATCCGAGCATCCGAGCACTGGACAACAGAATTGATAAGATGACTATATGAATCCCTCTATTAATGCTGAACAGAAGGCTTCTAAGGTCATGTTATAGTAAAGCTCCTGAATAAATTTATTTCTACCCAAAAAACCACGGTATACATATTAGATGCCACACTAATAATACTGCATAATTTTACCTTGTAAAAAAGGGAAAAGGAAACCAATGAAAAGATAGGGCAATACTGCTACAGATGCACAACATAGTAACGACACCATTCTTACTGCCACTGCACTGCATCAGTTCTCCAATTCAATCAAATAATGTTTGAAAGAAAGGAATAAAGGCGAAAGCAGTGAAAGAATGATACCTTTTGCCCCTTGCATCACTTAGGTGACATGAGTGTCAAATGCAGGAGAAAGATGAAACAAAAAGAACTGCATAAGATAATCGACCAATTTATAAAATACGGGAAATTAATATGTGGAAATCACTACGCTGTCAATGTATCATGTACTTGGGAACACAACGATTTATCACTTTATATTATCATCTGTTCTTGATCCTGGTTGATCTAGGATATTCTTGCAAAAAAAGTGAAATCCAAAGCAAAGACCAGAATAAGACAACCCACCTCTGGAAATCGAAAATAAGCAGAAAAAGAACATTGTAAACCAAACAAATTAATCAGTGGTCTCTATAAACAGCTAATAATTTTGTTGTCTTTTAATAGGTAAAAAGATGTGGTCTCTTAATAAGTTAATTTCTCACCCTTCATCGAACATTATCTGAAAGTACGCATTCTTTTACGATTGGAAAATTCAGATAATTGATTTCAACAATTACAATTCTGAGATGCCAAAACCACTTGGATTTGATGTGGAAACCCGACAAAGTGAAAACACCTGCTTGCAGCATTAAGCTAATATTACGGCCAAAATAGAAGGAACAGGAACCAGTTCATGAAAACATCAAACCAGAGTTCTGTCATACCTAGTAAACTATGACTTTCACTTTAAATGCAACAAAGAATTGCCAATATGCATCAAAGAGCTAAATGCCATCTTCTCTCCATAAAATAACTGATGACTAAGGTTCTTGCTTGACCTGGCATTGAGAGACATCATGCTAGGTGAACGTCAACATCAAAATAAAAGACAAAAGAATTGTGAGTATTAAAGATGGGGGAAAATAAATCCTTACTGCAGTGTGATTTTCTTCTTCAGTCAGCATGCTCCCGGAAACGTATGATATTGTTGATAAAGCTCCTCTCGCGACGATAGCTGAAGATTAAGATAGATAAGATTCAGAAATATACACGTCATGCTTTTCAGAATACAATTTAGTTACAGGACTTCCAAATTGGAGCATTTAAGTTTTGATTTTCTGTATTTGAGCCTAGTTTACTACACTTCTAGTTCACAGAGTGCATTGGACAACAAAATGTTAGCGCTGCAAAGGTCATTTTCGTAAGTTCCCTACAAACTTACATGATAAAGGCTGCTAGCATGAAATTGGTGACGCCCACTATGAAGTGAACGCTGAATGTCTTCCAGAAGTCATCCCGATCCAAAAATATCTTTTCTGAAATTAGAGTGACTACTCCAGAAAGAAGCAGAAATGTCCAACCAGAGGGAAGGCAGCTACGAAAGGAAAATGAGGACGAACCCTGAGAAAAAAAATCCAAAGAATAGATCATCGTTTTCGTCTGCATCCAAGGAAATTTTTGACTTCTGAAATACTTAAATATTTAAAATCCTCAAGCATCAGATAATTTCTTGGTTTTGATGATGTAAAGCAAAATAATTTCACATGCTTAGCAAATACCTGGAAATAGTTCCTGATGAATATTGCTGAGTAAGTGATCCTTAAAGCCATATCTTTCAACAAGTCAAGGAACTAGCGTTACAAACATGATATTCACTATCCTCGACAACCTAATCAGAACCCGCCACCAAACTGTAAGACCTTGCCTTATTTTTGAATCAAGATCTGCAGTGCGAAACACTGATCAACAATTTTCCCAAAAAAAAAAGGCAACCACTGTCAGAATTTCAGGAAAAGAAGAAATCTAACACTTTAATGCATCAGGAAAGGATACTCAAAGAATTTGCTAAAATCAACCCAATTGCACCAGCTGAACGTATAAGAGAAACATTTAACACCACGTAAATCAGTGAAAACACAAGCAAGGAATCATTTGAGCGCTTGAGTTGAATCTCGTTTGCGACTGCATGCAAAAATGCTTCAGATGTTCCTGCACCAAAGACAAAGAAAAACTCGACAATTTCAGAATAGTATCTGTAAACCTTAAGGGTGGTAAAGCTAAAGAAAACTTTAATAGGCCAGGGCAAATTCAACATATCGTCTTCACAAGCCGAAAGCAAATACATAGCAAATCAGTGGTACAATTATTGCAATTAATAATGCAGGTTGCAAAACGAGAAGGGAACATACTTCATTGTAGATCTCAGCTACTTGAAAACGAATATATAAGCTTTCTATCAGTTATGTAAAAGCAATAAGTAGCCTTATCAGGCAAAAGTCAAGGGAATAAACAGCTTCATAAATAATAAAATTAAAAAAATCTAATTTGTACGAAAAAATGAGCTAAAACCTCCAATAATAACAATTCATAAAGGCAGTGCTGGTAACAAAGTTCTCGAATGCTCCACACACCATTTAAGAAAGGTGTCCATCAAATGGCATTTGAACATGTTAAGAAATAACTAAATAAATCAAAATGTCCCCTCTCTAACATTATAAGCTTTAAGATGAGGTGATTCACACAATTTCACATGGTATCACTGAGTTCAAGCTGCACCACCATCCATTAATAAATATTCACATGCTTGTCCAATAAAAATTATCAGGCTAGCACGTGAGAAGGCGTGCTAAGACATAATTAAGTAAATAAAAGTGTACACTCTCTAACAGTTTAAACTTTCACACAATTTAATAAGACGAGAAACTTGCCAATAGTTTCTCCTCTGCCAAAAAAGTCAGACAAAAGTCACCAATTTCAAAAGCACGCATCAAGGTTGTAGCGCTTCAACAATAAATGACTGGTGGATAAATATGGCCAGATTCCAGTTAAGAGCTTCAGCTGTGCTTTGCCAAAATTTATCAGAAAGCTCAAAAACTGCATCCCTCACAGAAGTTTCAAACATGAACAGTACTCTTATCTAAGAAACTTTTGCCGTGGAGGCTGCGGCAGTACAGTTATTTACAAACTCAAACACATTAAAATAGAAGTCCAAAGTTGGGAGCTAAGTTGCTCGGACACGGGTGTGGGTGTCCGACAAGGGTGCGGATCTAGAGGTCGGATCCTTCGAGATGTAAATTCTAAGTACGGGTGCGGGAATCCGGCTAAAAATAATTCAAAAAAATAAAAATATCTTTAATTCGAGAAATTTTGTGGAATACTTGCGTATAGCTTGTAAAGTGTGAATTCCTTTTTTATTCTCAAGTTGTAGATAAGTAAAGGATTGATTTCCTGGATAAGATATGCTATTTTCTTCAAATTTACCCTAGTTTTGGTTCTAGTTCCGGAATCAAATTGTATCTGTCAGGAATTTTTCCATCCGTCAGGGTCAAAGTACCCAAAATTGTTTGACCAGATTCGGTACGGATCCCACACCCATACTAGTGTCGTGTCGACACGGGTGCGGCACCTAAACTGCCGTGTCGGAGCAACTTAGGTTGGGAGTTCCAATCTTCACAACCTTTTATCCCATATATATACAGCTATGTCCCCACATCATTATTTACTAAATTTGAAGTTTCACCGAACCTTCTTAATTATCATCATACACTGCTTCTTGCTTCATAAGATAATCCTACTACAATTACGCCTCAGTCCCAAAAAGTTGGGATCGGTTATATTAACTCACTTATCATGTTACTCCATTTAACCTCATCTCGTGCCAACTTCATAAGATAATCCCGTTGCTAAAACTAGTTTGTTTTCCAGAGTTTTCGACATTCTCCAGCCTTCTTTACTGAGTGCTATAGGTTGAATAGGTGCCAAGTATCACATTTGAGTGTATGGAAGTAAATCAGCTCCAGTTCATGTGCTGTGGCCCGGTTAAAAATACAAAGGAATCACAGAAGCACCAATACATATGGGCTGCCCAAATATAAAAATCTACAGAGTTGAGAAGCAGTCAAAAGCCCACAATATTCATGATCAGAAGCATTTTTCTGAACTAGAAAACCTATAGTAAATCTCAAGGTAGCTAATCAAATTGAATCCTAAGCACCCAAAATAATTAATGAAAAGGAAGGATAGGAATAGGATTCGTTCTGGACCTTCCAAAATACTTGACAGTTGCTGAGGGGGTCCCTCAAATTTCAGTATTACAGAAACCTTTCAGCACGGAACTTCTTTTTCTGCTCACTTAGCGTTACTCAAATAAAATATGGAGCGAAACAGTTTATTTGGGATCATTTATCTTATTCATCAGTAATCCTATCAAATTTGTTTCATTAACTCTAATTGGTTTTAGTTATTATATAACAGTGATAAAAAAAATTCAATAATCACTTATTTAAGATATTATAATCGATTTCTATTATGAAAACCAAACATGACCTTACCATTCATAGCCAACAGAATTACATAGAGGAAATAGTATCGTAGAGCTGTTGAAGCTTCTCCATCACTCCACTTGCGACCATACAGCAATCTGACGAAAGAGTAGGAATAGCTAGGGCCAAAGGCCATGACAACCAAACCTACAAGAAAAGCAGTTTTGAAAATGAAGATAAGCTATTTAGAGTCTAATTCATTCTGAAAAACCTAAGAGCCAAAATGAAATAAAAATTTACCAAGTTTTTCAGTGTAATAAATACAAGCAGCAAGTGAAGCATAATGTGTGTCAATTTATTGTTTGAGGCATATTTATCAAAAAGAGAAACAATTAGTTTGAAGCATATGGTAATGATGCTGATTAACCAAGCAAATGCCCCAGCAAAAGCAAGCCTAGAGAACGTATCATATTTTGGAAGCTGTCTATTTCAGTGGCAGCCAGGTAGCAAGTCTTCCACACATTTTATAGTCTTAGTTAAGTCTTAAATGCTGAGTCTTGTACATCGGCCTCCATCTTTTGAGGCTTTCATGTACTTTTTTTTTTCCTTAGGTAGATTGTGAATTTGTCGCCACACTAGTCGTGTGCCCAAAAGAAGATATTTTTAGTTCAGGTTTTTATTAGCTTCAAGATTTAGTAGTCCATTACAAAAAATGTCACTTCTGCAACAAAGACTGGCATAGATTGAGTTTGGATCCATAGAGAGTTGAGGAGAGTTTTTTTTTGGGGGGGTAACACAGAAAGAGTTCTTTCTTCACATTACCATAATGGCACCAACAAGGTGCTACATTTAACTTTACAAAAGATTTCATCTTTAGAGCTCCCAAAAAATTCATAAAAGTGTCTAAGCAATTTAAATCTTTCTGTTTGCCTAGAATATGCTTAAAATAACAATGCTTTACTCTATAGCTTGTCCTTCAAACATCTCGTATTTCTCATTCCAGATAACCCATATGATGCGAAAGGGAGAAATGTCTCGCATTTTTCTGCCATATTATACAGGACTGTATAAAGAGTAATTAACAAGGACAGAGAGGATCCTTACTCTTATTTTGAAGCAATACTCATATTCGAAAGACTAGGTTGAATTCCTGTAAGAAAATACATCGCTTCCTATGCATGTGCATCAGACATACCGTATAAGTTGTCAGAAGGTCGATGATTAGCACCCAGAATGTTTACCAGTAGAATCATTTCCAAAAAGGCTTGACATCATTTGTACACTGACGTCGATAATTTTGTAAAACTGGATTAGGGAAGTCTTGCCAATGTTTGCTAAGACAACGGTCAGGGAAAATTGAGACTTGGGTAAAACTACTAGAAAATGTTGATTATGAGCCAGTAGGATAAGTAAATGTAGGTAACGACGAGTCCAGCTTTATAGCTACAATGATTTCCAAAACAGATGCAAATAAATAAATAAATAAAAATGAAAAAGAGAAGATCAAAGTAATGTTGAAGCAAGTTCAATTATGTAAGATGTCATAGTTACCTATTAGTAAAACAAGTTTCAAAGCCTCAGTCAAACTTTTTCCCAATTTCTTTTGCTTCTGCGTGTCTTTACCTGTCAAAACAGTGAAACAGCTGAGGTATCAAATTGCCACTTCAAATTGAATGACAGAAGAAAGTCATTAGCATAAAGTTAAAATTTTGGTTTACAGCTTTGTGGTGGCGACAAACCCCAATAATGTAATATCAGAGACAAGGTTAAGTAAATGGTAGCAAGTTTGGAGATGAAGCTGTAAGCCATGGCTGAAATATAGCTACTCATTGGGTTTTGGTGCACTAAACCAGAATTCTTGGAGAATACAGTATCAATTTCTGTCATCAAGTCAAAGAAGCTTTTTAGGAAAAATAAGATGGCCTTTTGCCTTTTGCTATCGAAGATACTTTTTCTTCAAATACCAGTTTTTTTGAAAAGATTAAGATCAAAGGCCTACAGATTGAGATCCTGGAAGAGGTTAAGTCTGACAAGTGCACAGTACCTTCATGTTACCAATAAACCTAGTTCATGGAAGTAATAAACCAAGCAAAATTCGGTTAAAAGAAATAAATACACCAAGTAGCATCAGAAAATAGTCAAAAGCAATAGTTCATGTAGGTTGTTATGGTTAAAGAAAAAGATAAGCTCATTTATCTATTTCTTAGCTTCTGTGCAAAATCCTGAAAAGTCAAACCAGAAATGTAAAACATGCCGACAACTAGTAAAAACCAGTAAACCTTTGGTTCAGAAGTATTTCTTAATAGGCATGCATCACTTGAGGAACCACCATTGTATCTGCGTCTTGTCTTTCAATAAGGCATGAAAAACTTCCATACGAGCCAATCAATAAATCATGTTAAGAACAGGATCTGTAGGGCGAAAAGAGGTATGTAGAAGGATGATTATTTGTCATTTCCCTGTTTGGTAAGCAAGCAAAAATGGGCCATCTAACCTCCCAAATCTAGACAGAAAAGGAGGAATTCTTATATCTTTTACTCTCCTAATAATTGTGTGTCAGAATATATGAACAATAGTGCAACTAAGGAAGTAACTTGATGAATTTCCCTCTCCTTGCACTTCCCCTCCCCCTTGTGAAATCAAATTAGCATTAGTCACCATGACAACAACTAAGCAAGATTTAGAAAAACATATGAATTGAAAAAATAAAATGATTAAATGAAGTCCTATAACCAACAAGAGTCCTAAGAGGAAGGCGAATAAACCTGATGCAGACCTTGCAAATGTAGCATATGAACTTTCTTCAAATGGGAGAAATACCAGCCTAACCACTAAGCTGCCTGAAAAATCAATTTATATGTTTGTATCCGGTAGCAATATGCTGCTTTGTTAAGAAAGGCCGTAAGTAGAAGGCAATAATAGTTAGCTAAAGCATACCTAGTTTGTCTACAAGCCCATATACTGCTTGGTTATATGGTGTGTCCAACCACACAAGAACCATCTTTTCTCCTTCTTGAAGAAGCAACTTGCGGCAAGATTGAAAGGTAAACAACATACACATTTTCGAAAGTTGCTCATCAATGCCTCCATTTCCTACACTAATAGGGTGTTGACTGTCAAATAAAATAAATTCCAATGACAAGAAGAAAATGACTGTCAATATAAGAGAGGAGTGCAGAGAGATTTTGTGAACAAAGTTAAACAATTGATAGAACCAAACCAGAGCAGGCTTCCACTCATTCCTTTGTATTTCTTCACGCCCCAGCCACCCCCACTTTCAAAAGAAGGAAAAAGCTCCATTCTCATAAAAAGATGACTTTTTTTCTTTAGGACCAATACAGATGCATTATGTGCATCTACTACCACCTGTCTCTCTCCATCTTTCTCTCTCTCCCGCCTCCCTCTCTCTCTCTCTCTCTCTCTAGATGTTTTTGTGCTTTGTCTGTAAATCTGCTATAAGCACCCGCTTGTGCCTTACTTTACATATCACTTATCAAAAGAAAATATGAAGCGTATAACATGCATGCGAACAAAAGAGGATGAGTAAACATTAGAATTCTTACCCAAAAGGGAAGAGCTCAGAACTGCTATACATGTGAAAAAAAAGAAAGTAGCCCCAGTAGCCAAAGAACACACACGCTCCAAATGCGACTTGTGACAAGGCAAATACAATTGCTTTCTCCTGAAAGTAAGAAATCCTAATCTTAAATATGGGTATTATGCTTTCTCCTGAAGATTTGAAATTTTGATTTTCAAAATTTGTCACCACAACTAAACCAAATTAAGTTCAGGCATCCCTGCAAGTAACTCATGCAAGCATATAGACCTAGGACATGGAAAAAATTACGCAGATTTTATTGAAAGATCATCAAATTAGGAACTACAGAAGATAAAAACTCATTCACCTACCAGAAATGGTGGACCAAAAATTAAATAAGTAAATGGAATCATGTCTTTCAAATTTGAATTATCAAAGGAAGAATGTGTGAAATAAGGCATGATGGATAACTTTGCTGAAATCCACCAAATATTTACTGTGCTGGCAGCTCCTTCTAGCAATTGGAATTACCAGAAGCATCACGGAGATGCAACCAAGTACAAAAGTAGGGTCCTTTTAAGAAATGACAACATCTAATAAAGTCCATCAGAGAATTTACATCACTTATATGTTTAAGATTACACCAAAAACTAGATTAACTAAACATTAGCCTTCAAACTATGTAGATGGGTGGCAAAACATTGTTTCTGCACACATTCAATGGTCAAATTGGCATTTCATCAAAGCCATTTTTTAGGACTAAACTTCATAAATTAACGCGATATGATTACTATTCATAATATAATTCAATCCTCAAGAGGTATATTATTCCACCGAGCAACAATAGGATCCATCTTTTGCATAAACAATTTAAGGCAGTACTTCATGTTATAAAGAAACATGACTGGAAAGCACCTAACAGTAAACTCACTTAAACTTTACCGTAATAAAGATAAAAATAAAAAATGAAAACTATAAAAGAGTAAATAATGAAGACGATCAATAGTTGTTTACCATGCCAGGTAGCTTTACAATGAGGATGTAGGTAGCTATGCATCGTGAAAGGGTAGCTGCACTTTCAACAATCAGACGCAACTTAAGGAGAAGTAAATTCTGGGATAAGATGTAAAAGGGTTCGGCTAGTAGCTCCAGTATACATGCAAAACCTGGTCAATGGAAATAAAATTTCCAATAAAAATAAAAAAAGTCAGACGAGAATTTTCCCCCAAAAAGTCACGCCAAAATCAACTTCAGGGACAATCCAATACATGATATATTCAAGTCTCAAACCTCCAACCAGATGTAGGTAGAAGAAACGGTTCTAAGCAGGCCAGGATTATGTTAAAATCACATTGAAGCCAAAGACAAACAGCCAACGACATGACTTCTGAAGCGCATACATACAAACCCTCACAAGTGACAGTTCAAAAGCCGAAAACAGATGCAACCATTTAACCATAGAAAGCATAGGTTTCCTGACTCATATTGATAACCAGCTTGTAGAATAGGGACGCAACACAATGCCTTAAAGACTGTATATCAAAGTTTAAGCTCACCATTTATCCATATAGCCTGTGCATATTGACTAGAGTAACTTAGTTCTTGCCACCACATAACAAAAAGACATCCCGCAAATGTGACAATTATTCCCAAAGGGAGGGTCATCCATGCTACTTTCAACAGTTTTGCTGCATTTTCTCTCCTTGATGATCCGCCACTGCAATTTAAACACAATGACTTCCAAACTTCAAAAGCAGATCCAATATATATGTAGGTATATTTATATATATTTCTAACGAAAGTCTCAAAGAAGAAACAGAATGACAGAAACAAAAGATAAAAGAACCTTCATGTACTCATCCCGCTGGCACTACACAATGTCAAACCAGATAGACTACACCCTCTATTTGCTTAACTTTAGGGGTCTGTTAGCTAATTGAACTTTATATTACGAGTGCCATCTGAATGGTCAAACATCTGACATTTGGTTTTCTAAAATGTCATATCCTCTAGCCCTGTCTCACATATTTATTCTGAGAACTCAAAACCTTAACCACCTATTTGATGTCGTCTTTGTCAAGAACCTCTAGAAAGTTTCAACTGATTATCCACGTTGTTACAGACGTGGAAGTCCTTCACCAGATAGGCCTTTTACATTTTTTACGTCAATGCTGAGAAAAAAACGGTGAATTTTGTGGAGAAGACAGGAAAATGTAAAAGGAAGTGGATGATTTTACAAACTTTTTGAGCTCTTTGCAACTTAAATGGAAATCTTTGGTAATACACCTACCTGGTTCTTGTGTAAGTACAAATATAGTATTTTCTTTTTAAAGAAGTTATAATCTGGAGATTAGTTTCACCGCTATTCCAATTGGTAAATAACAAGCATAATTAGGTATAATGTGGATCACATAAAACAGATTTTCATAATTTCCCGACAAAAACAGAAAAGAGCATTTTATTGACTATGACCATAACAACTTGAAGCAAAATATATGCTTATTACACGAGATAAGCATTGAACTCTTTAATTTCAATATAGAGAGACGGAATTGATTTGATAATTTTATTTATTGAAGCTAAAAGAAGTTCTGAAATGAAATGCAAAGAACAAACTAAAAGAAGCATGAAAAAAAAATCCAATAGTACCAATAAATGTCAGCCCTCATGCATGCTCGCCTGAAGCCCTCTCGACTAAGAAAAAGCACACAAGTAATGAACAAGTGAAATTGTACAGCATACAACTGCATGATGCACAAAAAAAGATGTTAGACAAATTCCTGTACATAAAACCAAGAAGTCAGGCTGAAAAGTACAATAAAGTATCTGAGTTAATTGGTAACATGTTCTTGAACTCAAATCACCACAAACATCAAAGAAAATTATGGTGAATCGATATGGTACATGTCAACGCAGATGTTGTGTTGTCTAGTAACAACCAGTCAGCCACAAAAGCTTATCCAAGAAAAAGGAAAGGAAACCAACTAAAAGCTTACGGCAAGAAAAAGTAAGAGAATTTTTCTCATTCTTTAATCCACCTTATTTGGTTGACTTCTCCCTATTTTCGTATTTCCGTGGAGAAGCAGATGTTGCCATCTTTTATAATTCAAATTTAACATCAACGCAGTAGCGCCGATAACTTTTTTTTGATAAGGTAAATTGTATTAATCAAAAGGGAGAGAACTCCCGTATACACGAAGTATACCAAAACGTAAAGAATTTACATCAGAACATGATTCTCTACAAAAGACGCCCAATTTTCTATACAAGTAGGGGCTAAATGAGTGCACCAAAAAGCGATCAAAGATAAAAGACTATTCTTAAGATGTGAAAAAGGAGACTCAATCTCCTCAAAAGCTCTCCTATTTCTCTCCCCCCATACTATCCACATGAGAGCTAACGGGGCGAACTTCCACGCCTTTTGCTTTCTTCTTCTACGGAAACCGGCCCAGCTATATAAGATTTCCTTTACAGTGCTTGGTATCACCCATTGAACACCAAAAAGATTCAGGATTGCCCTCCACAAAGCAGAGGACACAGGGCAATGCAACAAAAGGTGATCAACTTCTTCCCCTGAGCTTTTACACATGTAGCACCAACTAACAAGTGTAATTCCTCTCTTTCGGAGATTTTCAGCAGTCAAGATCACTCCTCTCGCCGCTAGCCATGCAAAAAAGCACACCTTCGTGGGCGCCCTAGGAATCCAGATCGAGGAGTATGAAAAAGTGGTCTCCTTTCTCACCAACCTACTCTGGTAAAAGAACTTTACGGTGAACAAACCATCGCCACGCAAGCCCCATCTCCAAGAGTCGCAGGATGGTCGGGGCCTGTCTTGGCCATATAGCAGTGCCAACAAATCTTGGAGTTCCGCAATCTCCCAATCTTGTATGTTCCTTCTGAATGAGAGGTCTCATACTACCCCCTTCATGCTCCTTACGAATCTGTTGGACCATCAGTTCCTTCTGGTTTGAAACTCTGAAGACGTGGGGGAAGGAGACCCTCAGAGTATACTCTCCACACCACCTATGATTCCAAAAGCCGATTCTCCTTCCATCTCCCACCCTGTAAGTGATGTTGCCACTGAATGCTTCCCAATTCTTCATGATGCTCCTCCACATGCCACACCAGAAAGGTGTTGTAATTGCCTTGGTCCTCCAACCCCCTCCCATGGAATCGTACTTTTCTACTATGACCTCCCTCCATAGAGCATGCTCTTCTACCCCGAATCTCCACAGCCACATCCCCATTAAAGCTCTGTTAAATACCCTAAGGTCTTTCACTCCAAGTCCACCCCACTACTTTGGGGAAGTGACTGTCTGCCAATTCACTAGATGAAACTTTCTAGTTCCATCCGCCGCATCCCAAAGAAAGTTCCTTTGAAGTCGCTCCAGTTTTTCTGTGATTCTCACCGGTGCTTGCAATAAGGATAAGTAATGGGTGGGCATACTCGATAAAGTGCTTTTGATAAGCACTTCCTTACCTCCTTTTGACATATACCGTTTCTGCCAGCTTGCTAATCTTTTTTCAACCTGCTCGATCACTGGATTCCAAACCGTAGTATCCTTATATGAAGCGCCCAATGGGAGGCCCAGGTAAATAGTGGGAAGGGAGCCCACCTTGCATTTGAGAACATTAGACAAGGCATCAATATTAGCAACCTCACCTACCGGGAAAATCTCACACTTGCCGATGTTGATTNGTACACTCCCCCAAATCCCTACTCCACCCCACTCACTCTATCTTTGACGAGAGCTGCCAAAGAAAAAACTCCCTTCCTAATCTCCTTTACCTCCAAGCTTCTATCATCCCACATAAGTAGAATGCCCCCGGCACTTCCCGCTGCTGGGATCCAGTCATATTTCACCCAACTACCTCCCTAGACACTTCTCACGATCGCATCCGACAAAACTTCCATTTTGGTCTCCTGAAAACAAACTAGGT